GCCGGGGCTCCGGGGGGTGTGGGGGTGGGATGGTTGGGCATCAGAGGTCCTGGATCTGTCGGTGGAGGGTGTTTCGTGGTGCAGCTGGAGAGAGGAGCTGCCGGTGCCGTTGCAGAGCAGGATAAGCAGTTCCTGGGCTGAGCCCATCGCTCCCCGCTCTCCAATGGAGGGGGTGACACGTCCGTCCTCCGCAGAGACGATGGGGGTGGCCGGTTACTCACAAAGAGCCTCCGGTGAGAAGCACGATGAGGTTTTGGGGTGTTTTTTATCCCAAATCGCAGCCGGAGGCGCCTGCTCAGCCTCCTCCTGCCGAAGCTGCCGGCTCCGAGCCCCGTCTCTGGTGGGGAGACACGGGAGCTTCCCCCCTGCCTTCATCCCCGCTGCTCTGCTCCCCCTCTCCTCCTCCTCCTCCCGCCCGCAGGAGATGTTTTATCACCTCCCCTCCATCTGCTGCTCCTCCGTGGGGCTGCCCCACATCTGCTGCTCCCCATCGGCTCCGCTTGCCGGGAGGAGGCGGAGAGCAGCCAGAAAATCCGCTTGCCGTCGGCTCCCCCGGCCACCCCCTGGGGGCAGGGGGCCAGCTTCGCCCTGTGTGTGGCTACCAAATCCCCATCCCGTGTCCCTGGCATCCCGGAGGTGGTGCTCTCCCTCACGGGGTCAGGGATAAGCGGCCGTCAGAGGTTGGATCCTCTCCTTGCCCTTGATCCGATGGGTGATGGTGGCTCCTTCCAGCCCAGGCCATGGATTTGGGTGCCTAAATCAGGGCTTAAACCCGGAATGGTGACCCGGGAATCACTTGCCCTGGGGCTGCTGGCTCCTGCCTGGGAATGGTGCCTCCCTCTCGCCTTCCCGGGAAGCTTTGGCCCGTGGTGGGGCTGTTTGGGGCTCGTCCTGGCCGGGCTCCAGGGCTGGCACCGCGCTGGCGTGGGAGGCAGCGGGATGGAGGAGCATAAACCTGGCAGGGTTTTCCAGGAAATAAGAAAAAACGGGATTCTTGGCTGCCCTTATCTTCAGGGGTGGAAGTGGACCATCCCATGCGTGGCAGGAGAGCGGCTGACGGGGGTGAGATCTCCTGACAGGGATGAGGAGACCTCCTGGGGCTGGGCTGTGCTCCAGAGACCCCAAAGAACCCACTCAGCCCCTTTTTTCCGTGGCCGGGCTCCAGGGCTGGCACCGCGCTGGCGTGGGAGGCAGCGGGATGGAGGAGCATAAACCTGGCAGGGTTTTCCAGGAAATAAGAAAAAACGGGATTCTTGGCTGCCCTTATCTTCAGGGGTGGAAGTGGACCATCCCATGCGTGGCAGGAGAGCGGCTGACGGGGGTGGTGAGGAGATCTCCTGACAGGGATGAGGAGACCTCCCGGGGCTGGGCTGTGCTCCAGAGCCCCCAGAGACCCTGCTCAGCCCCTTTTTTCCAATGGACAATTGTGGGAGCAGCCCTCAGGAGCCCCCCCAGAGCCCAGACCCACTTTGTGTCCCCCGAGCTGGGGAGGATGTGAGGCTCCGATAGCGCGTGGTTACAGGGCTCGGCCGAGGAACCTGGCTCTGGGATTTGTGTCCCAGCTGGAAGGGACATCTCTGTCCCTCGTAGGATCAAACCCTCGTGGCTGTCAGGCAGTAGGACCCCCCCGGGTTCCCCATTTCATTCTCCAAACCCCATCTCCTCCGTGGAGCACCCCGGATCCCTCCCGACACCGCTCCGACACCAGCTCTTCAGTCTCCTCCCGTGTCCCCCCCTTCCCCGACTCGGCCTTTTCATTTATACCCTTTTTTTTTTATTTTATTTTATTTTTATTTTTTTTTCCCCCTGTAAAGGTGGAGGAGGAAGCCTCAGACAAGGATAACAGGAACTGCAGTAAAGACAGTATGTGCAGCAAGGTAACGGGGCTGCCAGCAGCCAGGCCCTGCGCTCCCTCTGCTGCTCCCCAGTCTCTCCCGCTTCCCCAGCTCCGTAGCGTAGGACACCATCCTTCCTGGGGGGCTTCTCCTCCTGAAGGAGAAATCCCCCCCCCTGCTCCTGCTGCTGCTGCTTTTCCCGGGATAGAGATGGCTTTGTGCTTAAAGATCCCTGTTTTTTCCCCCCCCCGCGGGGGTAGAAAGGCCAGGTCCCCCACTTGCTGTTCTCCTGGATCCTGCTGCATCCCTGGAGCGAAGCCGATGGCTGGGATCGGAGCCATGGCCCCTTTGCCCCCCCCCCGAGGAGAGGGAGGGGGCACCCCACGGTTCTAACGGGGAAAAACGCTTTTTTGGAAGGACCAGAGCCTGGATCCTGTGTTCCCCGAGGCTTTTTCTCCTCTCTTTCCCCCCAGCCTCAGAGCAGAGCCCTTTAGGGACCGAGCGATGCCGTTGGGGGGGCTGCTCCAACAGCAGGGATTGAGACCCCCCCTCCTTGTGTCCTAGCACCCCCTCAACGCCCCCCACCTCCTCCTGCCACCCCCTTCTCCTCCCGCTGTGCTCTGCCCGGCCCTTTTCCCCTTCAGATTTAAAGAAAAACACTTTAAATCGCTTCAAGAAGCGCTGGGGGGGGCGGGGGGGGG